ACACCCAAATCCCACCCTCTTCAAGTTGTGTTTTACTCAGCTGTAGAAAAACATCACTTGATCAAGAGTGCTATATTGTTCATATTGATACCACCACCACCACCAGAAATCATAACACTGGTGATGAATAGTTATTATTTCTTGAGCTATTCACTTTATAAACTTTACCATCTTATTTTAATCTTCATTGTAACCATGAACGGTGAAAATAGTGTTTTCATTTCATTCTCAACCATGATTTTTTACTGATAGAATGAATGTACATGCCTGTTGGGCACTGCACAGCTCCTCAAATCCTTGACTCATATTGGATATTATCACCCTCTTTTCCTATTCCACATGGATTTCTGCAGGGTACTTGCTGTTAATCAGAATGACTGCTGAAAACCCAACTTTAAAAAGATATGACATCTTCAGAAGGAAGATGTGATAGATCTAATGTAGAAACTGTGAAGTACCTGGAGCTAACAGTTCTTACATTTGACAGATGTTGAGTATCACTGTGTTTCCCCACAGTCTCTATAACACCTGGCCACACCCCTATGAATTTGCTGTGGCACCACAAGATGCTTCTGTGCACACTTTGGAAACTTTGACCCTAAGTAGAAATAATCCCTCTTCGATTTTGGCTTTCTGTACTATTCATTTGGCACTTAGACATTTGCTTTGTATCCAACTTAATTGTATGCACAGGTTTCACATCTGCTCCGAGATTATCTTGATCCATGAAGTTCATGGACCATTCCTTGCCGACGCCCTTCCAAAAGTCATTTGAAATGCCTTTCATATTTCCCTATTAAAATTTAAATATCTTTTTAAACAGAGTGTATAGCTGATAAATGTTGCTAATTGACGGGGTACAGAAAATCAATCTTTGAGTAAGTAAGAGATAATTTTGAAGGGGACATAGCCTTTCTTACTACCTGTAGTTTATTTACTCTTTTTGGGATAAGTAACTGTCTGCAAGTTCAAATGCACTGAATTCTGAATCACAGAAAAAAGGAAAATAATGCTATAATGCAGGTTAGTGTTTCTCTATGCCATTAATGCTATATAATGACTATGCCATTAATGATAATATTACTAATGATAGAGTAAAGGTAACTATTGGTGGAAATCATACTTTGAAAAGAAGCACTTAAGAGTAAATTATATTATGTTCTCCTTCAAGCATCTGTATATTATTTTTGAAATCACCGTCTGAGGAAGCATGAAATAGTTCCTGTATTTATGTGTGTGTTTCTTTTCTTTATTTCTCTGTCTCTCTTTTTTCTTCTCTCTCTCTCTCTCTCTCTCTTTTTTGTTTTTGGAAGACTGGGGAGATAGATTTTACAATTCTTTCTGCTCTATAAAGTAAATATGCTTCTAATCAGTCTATTGATTTAGCTCCAATGTCATTTAAGAGAACCAAAAAGAAACTATTTGTGAAGTTTTCTTTCAATGACTTAAAATGCTGACGGTTTCTAGCAAAACATACATACACTGGGCTATTGGGCTGTAAAAATTCACATGATAAAAATTAAATGGAGAAATGAGATCAAGATTACAACGAATTTGGGGGAATTTCTGGCTAGTTGCCATGTTCCTCTACTTTTTTTTCTGAAAGAGGGTCTTGCTCTGTTGCCTAGGGTGGAATGCAGTGGTGCCATCATGGCTTACTGCAACCTCAAACTCCCGGGCCCATGTGATCCTCCTGCCTCATCCTCCTGAGTAGTCGGGATTGTAGGTGCTTACCACCATGCCTGGCTAATTTTTTAAAAAAATTTTTTTGTAGAGATGGGGTCTTGCTATGTTGCCCAGGCTACTCTTGAACTTCTGGCTTCAAGTGATCCTCCCACCTTGGCATCCCAAAGTGTTGGGATTACAGGCATGAGCCACTTCACCTGGAATGTTTCTCTCCTTTTAGCACCTATTTCCTCTGACTGACTGAAATTTCAGTCCTAGCACTGGTAAGAGAATCAGTGCAGTAAATTAACTCCCTTTCAGACTATACTGAATTAAAACACAAAGCAAACATTGGTGACAGCAGAGCCCTTAGTTACCTGCTGTTTCTCTGTCAGCTGAGGTCAGCTCTCCATTGATCCCATTCTCTTTGGTATTTGAATAGGTGTCCTGTGACTCATGTTCTCCAAAGGCTCCCTCTTCATCCTCCCTGTATGGGAATCCATTGGCGCTTCGGACAAGTCCTTCCCCTGCCCCGCCTTGATCCTTAATCTCAGGTTGATGTGGGTGTGCAGATGCCTCTGTTAGTTGAGTTGAGGTCCAGTGAGGAGGCTTTGCTTCATCTTTTCGTTCATCTGCCATTCTTCAATGCCTTGTAACTTCTCCTGCAATTGGAAGAGGAAAAATAGCAGCCATGACTTTGGGGAAATCTTATCTGATATTAGTAGTACCAAAATAGGAGAAATTTGTAGCATATCCAGTGGTTTTCTATGGCCAAAGAAACATATACAATAACCTATGTTCAATATCAAGAGCTTCTCATTGTTACACCTCCTTGGTTTTTATATACTGTTTCTGGAATATTTATTCTTTTAATATAAATCACCATCATTCTATGTCTACTTTTTTTTATAACTAGTGTTTGGCATTTAAGTACACATCTTAATTAACCTTCATTGACATATAATGACCATATGGTAGAGTCAAGGAATCCTTCTGCATAGGCAAAATCTGCAGTATGAGAAAAATGGTTAGAAAAAGATGGGAAGAGGAATGACAGAGGGAAAATTCTATGGAAAATTATTCCACGTACACTCTTAAAAACATGACTCCCAGTGAAACCTAGAAAAGATAATGACCAAAATATTAGTCCTCTCAGTTTCAAAGGAGTTCAATTCAAGCCAGAGGTGAAAATGCTTTTCTGGACACTGTGAATTAAAAGAAAGATAGTTTTTACTCAATTTTTCAACAAACTTCCTGAACCTTATCTATAGATTAAGAGGGAATGAGATTTTCTATTAACATAAATCTTATGGAGAGAAAGGATGAGAGTACAGTATTAGGTCTATGTCCTACTTTTGATATTATTTCACAGGTAAGTCAAATAAGAACTGAAAAAGTTAAATTATTGGCATATATCAGGAAGCTATAAGTTATAGAAAAAATGAATTAGTCATGGAGGAGGTATCTTATACATGTTATGTCTATAGCAGATATTGCACAACCTTCTTTCATAAGTTGATGCTACTAAGCTTAGAGGCGTAATTGACAAGAGGTGATTTTCCACTCAGTTTTGGAAAACTGTTGCCAGCGACATAGCCTCATTGATAGCTTATTGTCCCCACAATAAGGGTGAGGACAAAGGCAATGACTGTCTTTGATGGAAACTAAAAACATCTTCCCTTTTTCAAAGGTAACTCATGCAAAGACCTCCAAATAAACAAACAAAAATTGTATTAACACAAATCCACTTCTTACTACCAAGTTCTTTTTGGAGACATTACAAATAAATTAAATTGTTAAGAAAGGAAGCTCTCCTACCAGATTACTAAAAAGCATTGGTCTGTTTTTTACTGAATTTTGATTGTATCCTCGGTTCCCTCTGTTTTTCTGTTCCTGTGTTCCCTCAGTTCCTTAAGTACGGCCTTTTGACTGAATCCAAATTTTACAAAATAAATCCTTATATATTTATTAATACATTTTTTTTTGTTCGTTTTTCATATTTTTATTTTATTTTT